CTAAACCGTCATATATAACCATACTAACTAATGACTACCAACATATTTTATTTTATGCATAACTGAAAAAACCAACAACTAACAACTACCAAATCTAGATTAAATCTTCTAATACGGTAATACCCCCTCTTAAGATAGACTTGTGTCACACCAAGCTTTGACTTCTATCTTCTTGTCACCAACTTTCAATGCCTTAATGAAGATATCCGCACGGTAGTACAGAAATTTATTTCGATTTCACTACTATTAACACACTACAAATTGAGGACTTTTTCCGTCGTTGATAGCTCGTGGGCAAAAAGCTGGTGGGTAATGTTATCAGCGACGGGATTCAATGACGGATTAGCGACGGTTTCTATCCGCGACGGACCTTCATCAGTGACAGATTAGCGACGGAAGCAGTCAGCGATGGATTTACCGATAGAAACTTCAGCGATAGGTTAGCGGCGGAGACTTTTTGCGATAGATTAGCGACTGATCAACAAATTTTTAGCGACGACTTATCCGTCACTAGTCCGTCGCTGATTTTTAAAATTTAAAAAAAAATTAAAATTACAGATTCTCTGTATTTTTTATACAAAACCTGCCCATGAAAAATAACCTAAACTGTCCAACAAGTTAAAAATAACCAAATTCATACAATTTAAAATACCAAATTCATACTATCTAATGTTCGAAAGTTATTTAAATAACATTCTAACAACCGGGAGGACCGGGGGGAGGGGGGGACGTATCCTGACTACGCCTAATAAACGTCACAAAATGTTGCGATAAAGCGACCTGCTCGGCTAACTGGGTAGCATATCTGGCCTGTTGGGCCTCCAAATAATAAATACTCTTTCTTTAATTACAATTTATTAAAAATAGATTAATTATAAATTATTACAAAATTAAAATTAACCGATATAAACCATTAAAGCTCAATATAACTCATTAAACTCCATATAGCCCATTAAAACCCGTAAAAACGGATTAAAGCCCATTATAACCCATTAAAATCCAATGATACTGAATAAATCCTAATACATTTATTAAAGCCCAAAAAACCATAACAACCACTAAGATCTATTAAAGTTCAATATAACCAATTAAAGTCCAATATAGCCCATTAAAGTATGTAAGAACGGGTTAAAGCTCAATATAACTCATCAAATCCCAATGATACTGAATAAAGCCCAATAGATTAATTAAAGCTCAATTAAACCATTACAGTCCACTACGATCTATTAAAGCCCAATATAACCCATTACAGTCCAATATAGCCCATTAAAGCCCGGTATAACCATTAGAGCCCAATGATACTAAAATAAAGCCTAATAGATTCATTAAGCCTAATGAAACCATTACAACCCACAAAGATTTATTAAAGCCCAATATCATTTTAACAAAAATATGTGTTTCACTTCTTAAGTGGCAATCCCCTATGTTTACTTTTTACTTGCTTTGAGTAGTCATCAGAAAACCCATTGGAAGGATTTCATATAGCTATGGAACACCAATTATTTTCTACCGGCCAGGACGCAACAGTAACTTCTACTATAGAAAAGATGAGGAACCAAGCTCTCAGTTGATTAAGAAATGAATAATGATCAAATAGGCCGTGTATCATATGGAAAGAACCCATTTGGAGAAATAAGAGACACCCATGATAACACTTGTTGACCTTTGTCATTCCCCTCTACCACCAACCAGATAAGAACTAAGTGATGAACCTACCGGTATATGAACCAACAACCTACCAATATATGTTTTAATTTTTCATAACAACATAATACCTAAAAGAAGTTTTGAAAGTTCTTATATTGCTGTATTGGTTCATAAATCTTAAGAAACATTTCCTGACTCGACTTTCTTGTAGTCTAAAACCCAAGAAATAGGAGAGTAATCTATAAGTGCATTACTTCTATTTTTACATCAAGATATTTACTTTCTTGTAGTACCAATTTTTTTTGGGAAAAAATAGAGTGACCCAATATGAAATGAAGTGGGAAAAAAAGTTCAAAAACAAAGTGTTCAAGATATTTCTAAATATTGCTTGACTGGAGGGAAGAAACAAACGGCTTAGTTCAAGATATTGCTTGCTGAAAGTGGAGGTTCAAAAAGATAACCTGTTTTTTACACATTCTCAAACACAAAGGAAAGGATCAAATAATCGATGCATGGTTTACCTGAAATCGTATTAGAAGATCGAACCAAATGGAGTACCCTAAAGAATAAAACAGAAACAATCGTATCAAATCAATCTGACAGTGAAATAAATTCAATCTCACATATAGTTTACGTATATACACACACACACACACTAAAAAGTGAAATTATAGTAGTCAATTTGGATAAAACCCAGTACATACAGTTTAAATATGTGAAATAAATTCAATAAAACAGAAAAAATAAAATCAATCGAACAGTAAAATAGATATAATCTTGTACATACACATACTACTAAAAATTGAAATAATAGTTGTCAATTCGGAAAAAGTCCAATACAAACAGTTTAGATGTGAATGCTAGGAATGGAACTGGCCTGGTGGCTTTTTTGCTGTAAGTTTTTTGATGATATATCTCTTTAAGAATGATCTTCAGGTATGTGTCAACATTTAATACAACAAAAAGAAGTTATTGCTTATCATTTCTTTTGTTAGAAAAGTACCCTTCTTGTTCTATCTTTTGTAGAAGGGAGAGAAGCCATCCCTAGATGATGTGTGTTGAGGAGCTTTTACAGTACACCATATAATTAATTAAGTTGTCTTAAAAATGGGTAGATTGAGTTAATGGCATACACCAAGGACATGACTATTGCCAGCGTCATTGTTAGATTATGTTGTTTGTTTACTCTAATCTATGGTTGTATTTGAGCTAATCTATCTCTTTGTAAACGCTGCATAATGCCTGAGTTTTGTTGAGTTGCCTACGTTGAATGGATTGAATCCATGATTTTTGTTCTTTCAAGAACCAGTCCAACAACCAGAATGCATCACCCATTTAAAGTTTATTTACCTAATAAACAACTATCATTCTACTTAAGAATTATTACTGTGAAACCTGATTATGTACAAGTTCCTAATTGATTGTATAATACTCTAAACGCAATATCTTTGTAACCAAAATATGTGTTTTACTTTTTAAGTGGCAATCCTCCATGTTTACTTTTTACTTGTTTGGATTCATCAGAAAAAAACATTAGAAGGATTTCATATAGTTGTGGAACACCATTTCTTTTTTACCAAGACTCAACACTAATTAATGATCCCTTTACAAACGTCTACTTCTACTTTATAAATGAGGAGAACCAAGCTCTCTCAATTGATTAATAAATGAACAATGATCAAATAGGCCATGTATCATATAGAAAGAACCCATTTGGAGAAATAAGAAATATCCATGATAACACTTGACCTTTGCTATTCCTCTCTACCACCAACCAAAAAAGAACTAAGTAATGAACCTACCAGTATATGTTGTAATTGACTTTCATAACAATACAAAGACCATAACACCTAAAGCACCATCAAATGAATGCAGAAAGAATAGTTGTTAACCACTTACTTCCTGCTCACACATACTAAAAATTGACCAATCACTTCCATTAACATTAGTACCACATTAATTTGTTAACAACTTACTTCCGGTCAACACCATAAACAAAATTACAAAAGAAGAGAATGAACAGACATCAGACATAAAGAATTAAACAGAAAGAAATCGAGATATAGAGTAAAAATCAAATAGTTTAAATCGAACAATAAGAATCATACAAAAAGAAATCGAGATGCGGAATAAAATCGATGATATACTATCAAACAGGAAGAATCAAATAAGTCAAAGAAATCGATGGTTTACCTGAAATTCAAAGAAGATCGGACCAAATGGTTAACCTGAAACCGTATGAGGAGAGAGAAAAAAATTCTAAATCAATAGAATGAGAGGGCGCATGAAGTAGCGATAACACAAATAAAACCTGCATTGGAAGCTGAATCGTCGGCTTGGAGAAAAGATTTGTCGCCTGAATCTAAGTTGTAATAGGAAATCGTCACTGCACTACAAAAATGCAGAGTATCAGAGAGGGAAATTTCCCTCGCAAATTCGTCGCTAAAAGGGTCATCCGTCGTTGATACTCTGTCAGTCAAATGTTCGTAGGTAATGCTATCAACGACGGAAATCAGTGAGGAATCTGTTTTTGGCCATTCCCTCATTGATCAGGGAGGGATTTTTTTCCCTCGTTGATTTTCGTCGTTGATACCTTGTTTTCTAGTAGTGCTGGTTGGGTGTGAATATGAGTTGTAAAAGGCTTTTATGCATAGTAGAGTTGTATGTTAGCATAGTAGAGTTGTATGTTAGCTTATTAAAGTTGCAATTAAGAGATTTAAGATTTGTGCCTTTATGCAATTTAAGTTGTTTTCAAGATTTTCTCAAATCTACTTTATAAAGTAGTATAGATAATTATTTTGAAAATATACCTCCATTCCAGACTACCTTAAAACTTAAAAGAAAGGGTTGATCCACTAAAGTGGGCTGCTGAATGCAATATAAAAATATGGGCTAGGCCCCAACTTAAGTATTCAACATTTTAGTTAAAGTAAAGATCTAAACAACTCGCAAACCAGGGCTGACGGGAGGAACCGTAACCCGATTTGGATGGTTCTCATTTTATATCATGTAAATATGAAGTCATAGACGTCTAGAGCATGCCAGACACGCATTATATGAGAAATTAATGGCATGCTAAAGAATATCATCATCATCATATCAGTAATGTATCTACTAACGACCGTTAAAAATAAAAATAAAAACACGAAAATCATGAACCACAGTCACATTTAAAACGATGGTTAAAAAATGTAACTCCCAATTTTTTCACATGTAAAAAAACCCTCCAATTTCTTTTTCCATATTTACCCTCTCAATCCTCCTTTAAATGCACCATTTCTTAGCTTCATCAAACACAATCATAATACTCCAAAGCATAATTATTTTCATCCTCATTCTCTTTCTATTTTAAGATGTCAATCTTTACGAACCGTTTCATGATTTTTGTGGTTCTTGTTTGTTCAGTAGTTGTAATCATTGGCAACAAGTCGGTGTTAGCGCAATGTCAAGGTGACGTGCAAGGACTCATTGAACAATGTGCACGTTATGTACAGAAATCAGGCCCTATGATTCAGCCATCTGGTGGTTGTTGTAGCGTTGTCAAGAACATAGACTTGGCCTGTGTGTGCGGCCATATTACGATTGAGGTCGAGAACATTATCAGCATGGAGAAGGCGGCATTCATCGCTCAAGCTTGTGGAAAACCACTTAGCCATGGAACCCAATGTGGAAGTAAGATTTTTGCCAATTCGTTTTTCTTTAATTAAATTTGGTCTTTTTGTTGATTGAACTTGATTTTACTTTGTGTTTTTTTAGGTTATGTTGTGCCATGAAGGTAGAAGACCAAGATCCAGAGTTATGAGTTATAGGAGAGTTGGAATATAGAACATTGCTTGTTTTTGTACCAAATAAATAAAGCTATAATAACATATGGTACAACTTTATTAAGGCATGTCTCTTTGTTACTTTTGAAGGATTGGAAACATTTGAAGTTGTTACTAATCAATTCAGATATTTGGAGTTTAATATCTCTAGCTTTATGACGCATTTCAAGTGAGATATGTTTACGTATGAAAGTACATGTAGACAAGTGATAATTGTTGGTTTTGGGTTTCATGATGGTAATAATGGTGGTGAAACCATTTGCAAAGCTCCTTTTAAATTACATTATCATATGAATCAAATAGTAAATTGTTCTATTACACTACAATAAAATCAAGTTTATAGGAGACCAAAAGTGTTCGAGTGTCTTAATATACTACTTTATATGAGTTAAATTTATAGGACCAAAAAATTGTATGTCCTATCTAAAGCTGTTGCAATAAGCTTATATAATGCTTTTAGGCATCTTAAAAAGCATTTTAGGAAACTTTTGAAACAAAGTCTCCTATTAACCATTTTATATAATATTGTTTGAAAAGTTGTCTTATACAACAACTGTCCTACAAAATAATATGACACTTTGTTTCAAAAGTGTTTCTTAAAGCTTGTTAAGACGTCCAAAAACGTCTTATAAACTTATTATAACACTTTTTAAATAGGACAAGCAAATATTTGGTCTCATAAATTTAAGTTTTATAAAGTAGATTAGGATACTTAAAACACTTTTAATGTTCTATAAACTTGATTTTTGTTGTAGTATATGTTAGCTATTTTATAAGATACTTGTTGGTTTTGGACACGAAGATCTAGCGTGATTCCACTATTGTGAGATAGTCTACATCCATAGGGAGAGATGGTGGTTTGTATATTCAATACCGAAAGGTGACTTTAAGGAGTTCTTACTGATTAAAAGCTTCAAACTCTAACACTTAACATAATGTAATCCTAAGAACTCACTCTCTTAAAAAAATCTCATAATCTCTAATGAGGAACAGAAAGCACACAAACGTCTACCTTTACAAATGGCCCGAAAAATTAGGTTTTAACCCATCTGTTTGTCGGCGGCTATTGTGCCCACGGTTGTACCACCAACTTTATAGCATGTCCTAGTGTAACATTCTGTATTTTTGGTACAAAAATCTTCAAATTATATCTATTTGTTTAACCTTAGAAAATATTTGGGTTAAGTTTTAAGTTAGGATGAAACTTTCTTTAGGCAAATGGACAGCAAACTCAATACTTGGGGGAAGGGGTAGTGCTAACTAAAGGGAGTGGGAGAATTTAGTGAAGTGAGAGTGAGGCCATGTTTGGAGGATCCTAGCAAGTGAAGAAACCAGCTAATTCTAATTATGAGTCTTGGTTCCTAGATCTAGTACAATTAAGGGGTTGTGATAAAATCTTCAAATCATCTTTACTTTATCATTCTCATCTTGATTTCTAGTGAGTTTATCTTCTTCTTCTTTTTTTTAAGCTTTATACATGCATGTTCTTTATTATATTTACTTGGATGAAGCTTATTCTGATACTAGTCAAGTAATTATTTTGATTTATAAAGGAACATGGAGCTTTTTTCATTTATTTGCATAATGTTTATATTTATGTGAGATTTGTAATTATTTTGGAATATGATCTAAATATTGTATTGAGAACCTTGATTTACACTTACTTCACCATCATGTATCATTTCATTATTTTGATGCTTATTTCATTTGATTGGGTATTTAATGAACACAAGTACCATTTATATATATATATATATATATATATATATATACTATATTATAAAACATTTGATCAAAAACTCTTAAAAATCACTTTTTGTGCATAAATTACTGTTTATTAATACATATTACTTAAAACTTCAGATTGCAAGTAGATGTGCGTAAGTATAACTTATTAAAGCTTCATATCTGAATTCATGTAACTAACTGCATATAAACATAATCAAATACATGATAAACAACTCATTTTAAATATAAAAAATCTAAAATATAATTAAGATAATCATTGAGTTCTAATAGAATACTTAATTATTATCGTTATAAAATGTTATATTATTAAAACAAAAATAAATTATTTCATTATTAAACTTAAATTTAAATTATAATAAAAAAATAAACTAAAGAAAATTACATAAAAGATAGAACTTTTAAATAATTGATTTGATATTAACATTGATATTTTTTTTTTCAAATTTTTATGATACCTTCAAATTTATATTTTATTCAAAAATAAAATCATTATTGTTTTATTAAAAACATATAAAATCGTATTATAACATCGACAAAGACAAATCTATACCATATTATAAAACATTTGACAAAAACTCTTAAAAATAAATTTTTTATGCATAAAATAATGTTTATTGATGCATATTACTTAAAATTCAAGATTACAAGTAATTTTGCATAAGTTCAACTTATTAAAACTCTATGTTTGAATTCATGTAACTAATTACAGATAAACATGATCAAATAGAGGATAAATATCGCATTTTAAAATATAATTAGGATGATTATTGAGTTCTAACAGAATACTTAATTATTATCATTATAAAAAATATATTATTAAACCTAAATTTAGTTACTTCGTCACATTAAATTAAATTATAATAAAAATTTTGAATTAAAAAAATACACAAACAATATCTTTCAAATAGTTAATTTGATACTAATTTTGATATTTTTTTACAAATTTTATATAATATTTTCAAATTTAAATTTTTTTCAAAAATAAAAAAATTATCTCTTTTTCATAACCATATAAAATCGTATTATATCGACATGGATAAAAAATAAAACGAAACATTGAAATGAAACTGTGTTTCGATGCATTGCACGAGTACCCTTCTAATATATATATATATATATATATATATATTATAAGGGACAAGATCAAATGTTAACCAAAGTTTTTGTGTTAACTTTGTAAACCATGTCAACCAATCACAATCCATTTTTCTATTAGGTTTCTATCATGTTCACAATTTAATGTCAAGGGTAATTGAGTAATTTCATTTGCTATCATGTAACTTCCATACCATTAAAAGGGAGTTACAAAATCATAAAATCTCTAAAAATATGCATTTATAATATCAATATTTTTATTTATTTTCTAATCTTGATCTTCCATTTTTATTGTTTATGAGTTTTTGATTCGTGGAGAAAACACGATAGTAAAATCTTCGGTATCGTTCAAGCTATTATGGATAAATGTATTGGAAAAAAATCGATAACATTGAGAAGATTAAAATGGTTTATGGTGACAATCGGAGTTCGAGTTCGGGAAGTGAAGAAATTAACCAAAGTGAATGCCTTGGTAATAGATTAATATTTTATTAGACTCGTTTTAATCGAAATTATGTTTATTATGATGTGTTGTATTTTTTATAGTTCATATTGCGTTGATAACTTTTTTCTTCAATTATTAATACGTACTTAATTCAAATGTTCAAATGGAAGTGCATGCACGACCCATTTTCATATTGTCATATTACCGACTTTTATGAATCATGAATTGTGTTCATGTTATGTTCATAAATGATATGCAGTCCAAGTTCATATATATGTCAATTTTTTGTTCGTATTTGACACAATAGTTCATATATATATATATATATATATATATATATATAGTTGTGTTCATATGGTTCTTACATTAACAAAAATCATAGAATTTTTTGATTTTGTAACTCCCAATTAATGATATAGGAGTTACATGATTTTTTTTATACCTAAATACCCTTTTCAACTTTGTTCACTTATTTTTATGAAATTTTAAATTTAAAAAAATAAGTTTTTAGCATGATTAATTACAACCGTTTATTAAAAAATTGAATAGCCAAGATTGATTAACAAAGTTAACACAAAAACTTTGGTTGACATATGAATCTGACCCTATATATATATATATATATATATATATATGATGATAATCAAATGAGAACAACAAAAACGTTACAACCTCAAGAGAATCGATATAAAAATATATTTTTACTTGATCTTTTTTTCATAAAAAACTGTTATTTTAGCTATTGTTTCACACATGTTTACATTTATGGTAAAAAAAATCTATGTTTCACAATATGAAACAAATGCATGTAAAAATAACACATTATAAAACAAATATATGTAAAACAATATCTTAAATTCTAATACCTAGTGAAAAAAAAATCATGGAAAAAATAGTTTTTAACCGGTTCTCACAAGTTTATAGCATTTTTATGGTTATATATATATATATATATATATATATATATATATATATATTAGATAGAGAATTTCGATTCATGGTTTTGGACACACACATCTCCCTCCTCCCCAACCCCCATTTAAGTTAAATAATGTTCTTCACCCACCAAATCTTGTCAAAAAGTTAATCTCCGTACACCGCTTCAATATTGACAATAATACTTGTATTGAATTTGACCCCTTTGACTTTTCTGCAAAGGATTTTCTATGGAGGTACGAATCATGAGGTGTGACAGCAAAGGAGATCGTTACCCTCTCAACCTTCCTTCTACCTTTACGACTTTCTCTTTCTCTCAACATTTATGGCATCCATGCATTTTGGTTTTTTATTCCCTCAAGAATAATCATTTAATTTTATTTCATGTTCTAAGCCGATTTCGTCTACGATTTGGGATTTGTCAATCTTGTGTATTTGACAAACATATTAAATTACCTTTTATGCTTCATCTTCATCTACTTCCATGCCTTTCCATATTTTACATATGGAACCGCTTTTAAGTTCGGCCGGTCACCTATATTATGTGTTATTTCTTGATGATTACTCTAATTTTCTTTTGACGTTTCCTCTTGGTAGAAAATCTCGAGTCTACTCTGTTTTATCATTCTTCAGTAATTTTGTTCATATGCAATTTAACAATTCCATCAAACTATTCCAATGTGACAACGACAAAGAATACGATAACGATTCTTTTAAGCAACTT